CTGACGATGCTGGACCTCGGCTGAAACGGCTGCATGACCCCTGCCCCATCATCACGCGACTGACCCGGGCTGAGCAGGCTCTACCTGGACCCACAACTACCTCAACGGGACGGTGGACGAGCTCAGTGAGCTGACAAGGCTGGAGAGAGGTGAGACATCAGCAACAGCGAGTTTGAGGGGGGCAAGGAACCCGGCTGATCCCCAGGATCAGCGACGAGGTAGAGAGGCAGTTCCTTGCCAACAGCGCGATCCCCCCCGCGAGCATGGCAGCCTCCCTCCTCCTCCTCGCTCACCCTGAGAGAGTGGAGCAGAGGCAGCTGCAGGAGCAGATGTCGGGCCTGAGGACGGAGCTGCTGTCCCGTGGTTTCCACGTGCTCGATGGTGGGAACATCTTGCAGGACATGCAGAGTGCGGCACAGGTGCTCGACAAGTTCGTGAGGACGGAGGAGGAGGGCGGGAAGAGCTGGTTGAGGGTGCAGGAAGAGGAAAGGGCCTTCTCCCTCATGGCCCTCCACTACCTGAGGAGCTGCCTGCTCTCGGTCTTCGCGCAGGACGGTTTGCTCTTGTTCTCCCTCATCTTCTCCTCTCCTCCCTCCTCCGCTCCTCCTCCTCCTCCTGCCTCTTCCTCCTCTGCTCCTCCTTCCCCGGCCCACCCTCTGGATCGACTAGGAGGCGTGTGGGTGAGCAGGGAGGAGGTGGGCCGGCGGTATGCGGAGCTGAGGCCAGTGTGGGAGAACGAGGTCGTGTTCAGGCGAGGAGGCGGGAAGGAGGAGGACATCGAGGAAGCGGTGGTCCTGCTGAGGAGGAAGAAGCTGCTGGTGGAAGGGGAGAGAAAGGAGCTGCAGCTCAACCTCGCAGGGGGACAGAGCAAGCAGCACTGGCAGCTGGTCTCCTCCCTCTTCTCCGGGATCCTCGTCGGCTACTGGAGCGTGCTCCTCCAGGTCGTCCTGGCCAGGAAGGGACTGCTGCTGCTCCCGCTGGAGGACGAGAAGCGCTGCATGCTCAGGATGCGGGAGAATCTCCAGCTGCTGCGGGACAAGAGGATCCTGGCAAGGGACGTTCCTGTCTCCACCGACACCCTCAGCAACGCTCTCCGCCTCCTTGTGCGCGAGCGCTGCCTTCTCCGAACGCCTCCTGCTGACAAGACGAGGGCAGCGAGCCTCGCCCTCGGGGAGGAGGCGACGGTCCTGGGCCTGTGGCAGCTGGGCTCGGGCTGGGGACCGGAGGACGCGAAGCGGAAGAGCCTGGAGGAGCTGGCGAGTGTCTTTGCGTCCTCAAAGCTCTAGAGCCATCGATCTGTCCTTGTTAAACTTCTCTTATTGAAAAATTACCTCCTCCTCCTCCTCCTTATTAAACACTGATTTCCTCCTCCTCCTCCTCCTCCTCCTCCTCCTGTTAATCAAAAATCGCCTCCACCTCCTCCTCACCGTGCCAGCCTGGCTTCCGCGGCCCGGGCCGCGGCGTCAGCCGGGCCCGCCTGGTCCCGTGTCACCGAGTGTAAGTGATTGGGGACCATCCAGGATCTCAGGTGGGCGGGCGGCCGAGACGGCGCTCGGAGTAACGGGAAAGCTTCGGCGCCCGGGACTGGGTCGCAAGACTCAGTAAGACTTAAGCGCCTCCAACGACCGGTCGTTGGTCAAGGGCGACACCGGTTC